GGCAAATAAAAAAACTCAAATTATCATCAAACACATTAAAATGATTTAGGTTTTATGTCCGATAAACACACCAATCAGCTTGAATCTATTAGTTCCTCTTAAGTGGAATCCAGCAGACACTGCGGCTTCCCTTAGATCTTCCCCATCAAGAAACAGTGATGTAAGACATGGCACTGGAGTTACATTGTCAGCATTTCACTACATCTGACAAATGACACAGATCTAACCTTCTCTTTAGTTTTCCCAACATTTGCTGCTGCTTAATCTCAAAACCTCTTTCATGAGCAATCAAAAGACGAAAGAAAAACTGCAACAGCACATCCACGCATGACGCAACTTGATGTCAGCGTTTAATAGACACAGGGAGCTGAGCGGAGCAAGATGAATGGTTTAGGGCGGTTTCCAGCGCAATCAAGAAGTGAAAATAATCCTACACTGCTCCTGTAACAGCTCTTAAAATGTGTGCGGCGTTTAAAGATGTTGGTAAAGCCATTATAACCAAGAACAGTGGCAGGCCGCCAGTTCAAAGGGAATTTTCCTCCTTTTGAGGTCTCCTGTGGCCTCAGCCTAGACCAGGCCACAGGAATCCAGCAGTGGATTGGTGCACAAACCTGGAACCTTAAAAGATCCCAGGCTTTGAAATGCCACTCACTCATCTCACATTATTTTTATAAAGACAGAGTCATATGGAGAAAGTTACTGTGCAGGGCAAAGCCACACTGAGAGTGAGTTCGGGGAATGGGACGGTAGGAAACACTGACTGGGTGAGGGAATCAGAGGCTCCATATCCATCTGGAATTGTACAAAACCAAGGATAAGTGAGAGTTACCAAGGACAAAGAGGGGGTAAAAGGAACCAAAACTATTAAAAGAATTCTACCAATGACCAAGATATAATTTTACAAATATGGCTTTGATGTATTTACACTTGTCTGTCTGTGGGGTCTACAAAGATCTGTATCGCAAGCTTAACTTAATGGCAACGTTATGCACCAGTAGCAGCATGGAGGGAACACAGTTCTCATTGTAAGGCAAACCAACCACAACTACCACTGGCTACAATGCAATTTCCCCTGTAAAATACAGGAAGAAAATACCAGGCAGCTGTTTCCAGCCGCACAAAACTGGGCTGAAACTGTTTCTAAAGATGCTGGACAAAAGAGAGGAGATGGAATGAGAAGATGCTTTTAGCACATGCAGCCGGTTAAACCTGACCCAGGCATTTTATTAGCAGACGGCATGAACTAGTCGAAGCCAACCCAGGGGTCTCGCCCCTCCTCCACCGCCTTCAACAATCTACAGTAGAGAAATTCTGTTAAAGTCATTAGCCCACGCATATTACTACGCTCGCAAAGGCTGCTGAGCCCATGACATCATTATGGGCTGCTGTCATTCCAGTGGGATGTCTGTGAGCTCTGTCTGAGAGAGAGTTGGGCAGTCCCAACCATTTGCACCAGCATGCCATCATGAAGCATAGAAAACACAGTGGTCCAGAGGAGGGGAAATTACCCATTTCAAAATATCCATTTATGGAGCGCTGAAGCTGAAGCGAAGCCAGTTATGTCTCTGCAAACAAATGCTGAAGAAAGAAATCAGCTCAGTTTAGAAAGAGTGATGTGAAGTGTCTCAGATGCTTGGCACATGCGGTATGATACTATGGGAAGTGCACCTCGGGATCCAGCCCCAGACAGCCAAGCCATGAGGTTGCCTTCCAGAAGAGCTCTAACTGCAAAATCAGGAGCCTTTGATGTAGCGCTATCTCACAACAAACAGCTAGCAGGGCCGAGAGAAAAGCACTGTCTGATAAGGACTTGAATATATAGAAGAACGTTGCACTTTCCCACAAAGTAAAGGAAATGTGGAGCTATTATGGGCCAGAGTGAGGTGGAGGCTGGAGAGGTTGAAAACTTTTCCCACTCGAAAACACAACTGAAATGTTGAGTCTACTGCTCCATGCATAGAAATCATCTGCTCTGCACGGCTGAACATAATAACAGGGACCGATTTGTGCTGCAGTACTTTCAAACAGCTAGACTTTTCCTAAGCAGGATGTGTTGATAAAAAAAAAATACCCAAAAAGTGTTTTTATATGTGAAAGACGAGTGAAGTTCTTTTTATTCTGACTTTTTTTTTTTTTTTACAGCCACTCACTTCATAAAGAAGTTATCTGCATCAAAGGGACATGCCGTGGGCTGTCGTAGTAGAGCTTGTAGCATAGCACAGTGTGTAATTGTCGTAATAGCTGAGATATAGCACAGCATTCAAAATCAGGGGCTGAATGGCTTCTTGCTGCGTTAGTCTCCTCATACGAGAGCTTCGCTCCGTGGCTGCTCATTGCTCTGGCAAGCAAATAATGGCTTCATTCCAGAAACATGGAAGGTCCAAGAAAGAGACCATCTGAGTGATGCTGCGAGGATCCACTCACATCTTCGGTGCTTGATGCTGTAATTAGGGCCTTAGACAGCTGAAAGTCAGAGCTGGGTGTGGTAATGTTGAAAATGTGGAGTGAGGAGCACAAAATAAGCACCCATGGGAAATTAGGATGCTACTGTTTGACAAGGAAAATAAATAGAAACAGAAAAAAGTCTCAATTTTAGATCTTGGATTACTCAGATTTCAGCTGAATGCTGTTATGTGTCAGTATGATCGGCAAGGAGCCAGGCGGAGGTGGAAGAAGTATTCAAACAAGCACTTTAAAGAAGTCCTGTGAGTAATACACTGTGACTAAAACAGTTAGGAAGGAAACATGTCCTGGTGATCGTTCCAGTACCAAAGTTCCCCTCAAATGTTGTCTCAGATACAGTGCTGTGCAGAAGTCTTGAGCCACCCCTTACTTCTTTATAAATGGCTAGGAACATAGGAAACGGACATAAATGAGAATGCAGTATATAAGGCAAAAGATTTTGTGCAATTCTAAAGAGTTTGAAAGTCAATATTGGTAAGTTGTCTTCATGAATATTTATCCAGGCGTCTTCCTGGTTGTTTCAAAGCTCTTCTTTGGTTGTTGGCTGCTTTTTGTTTTTATTCCATGACAGAACTCTCCAGTGTGTTAACAGTGGCTGTAGACACCTGTATAAGACCTGTTGCAGCTGATTTTCAGTCCACTTCTTGTGCAATTTGGCTGAGCTGAAAGCCCAGGTGCATCTCTCAGGTCACGACTCAAACACGTGACTTCCACATGTTTCAGAGAGTTTTTAGGCCTGCAACTTTTCCACCTGTTTTCTCAATTTTTCTAAGATCACGTTGCACATTATGGTGAATGTTTTCAGCTTTTAGCTCTTTTGGGATCACCTTAATCATGCAAAAATACTGTTTTATGCCTGTGAGACTGTTATGTTTGGCATTTTTTATAGATTCAACCAATGAACCAACCTGGAGAAATATTGTTCAAGACAGCTTTAAAAATGGCAACAACGTCAGGTTACTTGGAAGCAAAATATACAAAAATTAGAGATGGCTCGAGACTTTTACTGTGTTACTATGACAAAAGTGGACTGAAGTAAAATCTTCATTTGAACCCTCATCACGGCCTCAATATTATATCATACTATAAGGACTCCATGTTGACATGATTTGCGACCAGCACACCCGGGCTGTCCCATCTAAACTCAAAGTTTCCTGGCACGCGCTTACTGGCTTCCTTGTTAAGATGAGAGGGCTGTCACCACTCAAGCACGACAATGTTTAAGTCTGACATGGTTGAACAGCAGTCTCACAAGATGCGTGCAGGAAACGAAAGTTTCAGACCAAGTTTTGCACATTAACCCTGATAAAACCACAACTTGTTGCCACTACTCTTTGAGTTTGTTAAACTGAATTAAAACGTTAAGTAAATGCCGTGAAAGAGATTAAGGGGGATTCTCTGACAATTTGGAAAACTTTTAAGAGTAAGAGGCTTTACATAAAAAGAAAATTGAATTTAAAAAAAAGATGGACGGATGGAAACATACGTTTTCTTATTTTTTCATCAGATACGAGACTTTTTGTGGAATCCCCAAATTAAAACTGTATAGTCAAAGTCGAGCTGCTGGCTGATTACATTCCGCCCACCTAAGTGGAAAAAAACCCCAAACAAAACCCAAATTTTCATTACAGCATCTCCTCTTCGCTTCAGCGCATGAATAATGAAGGAATCTAGACACGCGATCGCGCTTGAAAGAGAAAGTAGCCGTAAAGTCCCGCTTTGTGACGTGCTGAACGCTGAAATGCCCCCTCTGACGCATAAATGACACCCTGTCATCCTTGTTCGACTCCGCTGATCGACAGGGAGGTGGGTGTCGACGGTGCGCTCGCTATTACAAAGCGTCTAAACGCCTAAACTCGGGCCTGATGTGGAGGGTGTAGGGAGGTAGGAAAGGGGAGGGGAGGATACTTCGGGTGTGGGAGTTTTGGGGGAATTCAGAAAATGTTGTTTTTTAGATGAGTCGCCTGCAGCGAGAGGGGCTAAACTAAATAAACGCAGAATGCTGTGATGTTCTCCGTCAAGGATATGCAGGAAAATGTCCTCCATCCTGTAGAGGAGAGGGGGGGAAATCCCGTTTACCTCTCCCCCTACAAACACCACCACCTCCACCACTCTCGCCATGCCGCGCTCAGTATGTGCCACTTCAGCCAAACGCTGAGTTGTCTGACTTTTGGAGAGACAAAAGAACCGCAGGAGTGGGGAGAGAATGAGGGGCGGGACGGAACGGCACAGGTCGGTTCATTTAATACATCAGCAGCTCATATTGGTCCATAATAGTCCAAATAAATAAACAAATAAACAATAAATAACAAATAAACAAAAAAGAGCAAGAAATAAACTTTTTTTCATATATAGAAAGAGCAAGACAGTCCACTATATGGGTTGTTTATAACTGTGATCCAGTGCTTTAAGTGAAAATAAACCCACCACCGACAAGTTTAAAAGCTCAACAAGTTTAAAAGCAAAGCACAGACAGCTACTACTCGATTATTCGACCGCACCGTGGCAAAAGTGCGGTTATTAGCCCGTTAACTTACCAAAACAATGGCAAATTTCTCCTCCAGCTCGGTGGGGTCAGGCATGGGCACCTTCAGAGGCATGATGTGCTGCTTCATCTCCGACTGGCCGTCCACACTCTCTATATTACCCATTTTAATGCCTTATCCTGCCGTCGACTTGAAACTTGCCTCAGCTTCTTACGGCGACAAGAATAATCCAAGTAAAAGAAGCAAAAAGAAAGAAATCTCCAAAGTATTCCGAGAGTCTCATCCGCGATTTAATCCGAATAATCCACTTCTCTCCGAAAACAGATTATTGAAGAAAAAAGAAGAAGAAAAAAGCTGACACTGCAGTAGTCCCTAAATGCCATTTACCCTAATCACGCGTTTAAGTTGCCAGTGTTTGACTCTAGTCTCTTTTTTAAAAGTAAGAGTGCAGCTGCTTCATCTTCCAGAAAGTAGCCTCTGTCTTGCCTGGCCAATCCATTACTTACAGCGAATTTTCCCCAATGACAGATAACTTTCAAAACCCGACCGACAGTTACTTTTAGGTGCTGCTCAACTTTCTTGGCTCCGACGTGTTTCCATTCATTATTGTTGTGTGATCCTGATTAAGGTCTTTGCTGTTGCCTCCACTCAGAGCTCAGGGTTTTCTTCTAGAGTCCTGCCCGCATTGGGGGTGGCATGCCTCCTGTTGGTCTGACTGCATGTCAGTCATTGCAATCTGTCTCCCTCCCTCCCGCCCCTCACATCTGTAAGCAGTGAGCCTGCATACAGCTGGACGGAAAAGCCAATTGTCAGCACTTTATCGCGACCTGCTGGCAAGAAATTGCCATGACAAGAAAGATCATTAGAGAAATAAATAGATGACAAAGCTGGTTGAATTCACAGGAGTGCAAAGTTTAATCAACAGCTTTAGCAGATGCATGATGATATGTTGAAATGATCAAAGCACAGCAGTTTTCCTTTTTACTTCTGACACTCTGTTTTTTCCCACCCTTTACCACAAATCAGTGTCTAAGTGTCTGCAGTGAGGTGAGACATGATGGGACATGGAAGTTGTCCGGGAACAGGTATACAATAATCTGCTTCTCATGAGGTCAAAAAGGGTTTTGCGTGTAAAAATAAAGGATAAACATGACTGTAAGCCATCAGCCATTTGCATTTAGGACTACAAACACATAAAAACACAAAGGAGCTCTGGACAAAACATCTACAAAGTTTTCTCTTGGTAAAAGCACAGTGATTAAGACTGTACAGCATCGTACCTCTGTTCTCAGTGGAAATTTGACGGTGAAGGCTTGTAACACTTTGATTTAAAAAATTAACATTCAGAAAGTTCTGGTTAAAACATATAAAACTTCATCTGGAACATATTTCATAAACACTGACAAACTGTGCACAGTTTTGAAATACTTATGGCAGTAATATAAACCCACATAAACAAAGCCATAACAGGAACTGTTTGGAGACTGTAACAAATAAAATTCAAATAAATGTTTTCCCGTTTTGTTGGATGCTGAAAATCCATAAAATGTTGTCGTACCTTTGGAAATTGGACAAATATATAAGCCCTTTTAAAGCTAAAATGCAAGAGGACTTTTTACATGCTTTAAACACACATAACCTTGGTTTGTCGTGCAACATAGTTGCATTATTATCAAATATTTATTCAGCTTAAATATCTGCCTGAGACAGAATGGATTCAGCACAGTTATCACTTCACGAATATTTAGCGACAAGTAAAGTTTTGCTCATAAATACTGATGGACTGTGTTTTTCTGGAGCAGATATGTCATCATTTTTTTTCTTCAGTGATGGTGGAAATTTCCATTTAAGCTGAATATACACACGCACAAATCACAGGTCACAGAAGCAATGTTTATGTTTGAAAGTAGATGCCTGAGGATCAGGCATTGATTCTTTTAGTTGGTCTCTGCTGCCAAGTCGTACCTGAAAATAAAAAGAAAGAAAAGACAATGGATTGTTTTTTGTCATGCTTAAAGAAGAATAAAAACACATCACTGTGGTTCTTATAATTGATGCATGAAAGGGTTAAATAGTTACCACTGTGTGACACCCGTCTTGAGGTCAATTTGGTCCAGGTCCAGCTGCAACTGAAGGCAACGAGAGAGAGAAGAAGAGTCTTGAGATTAAAGCCAAGTATTTTACACAACCTTGGGCAAAGACGAGCTGAATTTCAGGCGTGACCGATTACAAATACCTTGCCGATAAGCTCCCTCTCTCGGCTGATGAAAGAGACACTGTTCTTCACAGACAGGTCCAGTCTTCTCTGAGAGGATTCCTCGACTGATAAGTCAAAGTCAAACCTACAGAAACAAGCAAGGTTAATGTGGGAGAGGTCAGTCGCTATAATCACAGCCCTATTTGTTTGTCTTGCCTCTCATTAAATTCTGGGCTGAGGTCTTTCTTCTTGGTCGCAGTTTTCCTCTTGGTGGTAGCCTTCTTGTCAGGCAACAGGATGAAGGAAACATACGGGTCTGCGCCATCCTTGGAACGCGCTATCAATGCTCTGTCAGTATAAAGAGATCACATCCACAACATATGATGGTTTTTCTGCTTAAAGTGTGATGATGATGATGATGATGATGGGATGGGTAACGTATGGCTTATAGAAACCTGCAGGAGTGAACAGTGATGAAAAGCCGGTTTTCCTCCATGGAGTAACCGATGGTAAGCTTCACCTGTCCTGCTGAGTTTGGGTTGTCACTCACCCTAAAGACACAGATGAGAAATGATATTTATTTACATTTGGGTGTCATTTGGACAGTCACTTAAGTATATTACTGCGCTTACAGTGCAGGTATGCACCACACAGCAGGACTACTATACCCCTATGTGTGACTCACATGGAGAATCCAGGTCTGTGTCTGAGGTCCAGATGAGAAGGATCCCATTTAGGGAAGACGCCATCGACACCTCCCTCCCCTACAGCCCCACGACACACTGCCAGCTGAGTGTCCAGGATCTGCAAGGTATATTAAAAATAATCACTGAATAAAAATCATGACTCAATAATTATGACTTAATAAACATCATGGAGTAGTTTAGATAATGGCACACAGTCAGTAAGCACTTAATATAGCATTGCTCCAAGAAAAGCTACTACAGCACAGTGAAAATAAGCAGCCTGTCTGCAGTACCTTCAGTATGACCATCAACAGTATCTGGCTCTCTGGCAGCGCTCCATCCAGATTGAGCCAGCGGTCCAGAACCAAGTCTGTCTCAGCCAGCACCTCCTTCAGAGGAAGTGTCAAAGAGCCGAGAGCCTGGCCCCAGCTGTGGGAAAGCTACAAGGAAACAAAGACATAAATAAACGCACACATCTTCTACTTCTTTTATTGGTGTAAAATGTTTTAGTTTTGACAAATGGTGTGAATCAAATGCATCTACTTTGCATCCTCATGATTCAGATAAATATAGATAATGACTCGCACCTTGACCGTGAGTATTTCACTTCTGGGGTCACTAGTCAAAAAGTGAAAGCCTTCATCCCATCGAGGGGACGTGGATCGCTCAGAGACCTTTAGAAAAAACAAACAATAAATGTGACTTTTGTGAAACACCATTTTTTCCCTTTATTTTCAGTGAATATCTTTAGTGAGTTAAGAGCCTACCTTGGTTTTGTATGAAACATTTTTAAGGATAATCTCGGCTCCAACTTTTGGCTCCTTTCCATTCTTCTTCAGCTGAAATAACGTACAAATGATTACACGGCACTACAGGAACTGTAAGCAACAGCATCAGCGTGGAAATATAAGACAGAAACAGTTTGTACTCTGTCTAACCAGCTTGAAAGTCAATATTTGATGTGACACAGCTTGAACACTCTTAGGCTTTCTTGTCATGTCTTTAAGTAGACTGCAGGAATGGTTCTCCAGGCTTCTTAAAGGACGTTCAAAGCTCTTCTTTGGATGTTGGCTGCCTTTTGTTCTGTTCTCTGTTGGTGCATTTCTGCATTCATAATTCCACCACTGTGTTTAAAGACAACTGTAGAGACTCACTGTTGTACCGCTCTGCTGAGCAACACTGTGCATGATTTTAGCATGCCACTTCCTCTTTTGTCCTCCACTTGTCCAGTTTCCTCAGATGTCGTGCCACCATGTGAAGCTAATAGCTCTTTGGGAATGACCTTGTTGATGTAAAAAACAATCTTATAACCGTTTTTCTTAGAGTAAAATAAATGGGCTGCTAGTCAAATAGTTCCCACAGATACAATTTAAAATCGGTTCTGTTAAAGCAAATTGTTATCTGTTATAGTACGTGTAGACACAACTGCAGGGCTGTAGCTCAGGAGTTAGAGCAGGTCACCTACCAGTTTGTAATTTGGTGCCAACTGCTTGCCAAATATTCTTGGCCAAGATACTAACCCCAGTTTCCTCTATGAATGTGCGTGACTGTTAGAGAGAAAGCACTTGGTTTTGAAAAAGCATGTGAATGGGTGTCACTGAGACTAGTTGTATATGGCCCTTTGAGTGCACAGGCAGAGTAGAAAAGAGCTATAAAAGCACCAGTCAGTTTACCATTTAAAATACTGCTTCATCCTTGAAATAGGTAAAACATAGACAAGTGTTTGTGGCTAAACAAACACAAAAAGGCATTCTTCTGAAATGACCAGGCACAGCAAGCTGAAAAAGTCTGAAAAAAAAACAGCCAATGTCCAAAGAAAGACTTTTTAAGACCTCCAGAAAGTCTCTAGAACTATTGCTCATTGGAAAGTCTGGCTCATTGGAAGCAAAATATTAAAAAAATGACCATAAACACTCATCGATATGATCTCACCGGAAGGCCGTGGGCACGCTCCACGTACACGAACACCAGAGCGGCTGACGGCACCACCTTGTTTTGGAAAGACTGCAGGGACTGGTACTGCAGGATCTGTAGAAAAGAGGGGCAAAGACAGGAGAGAGAGAGCGTTTCAGGAAGACACTTGAAATAGGAAACTAGCGGTTCATGTTTCCTTTGCAGCACTAGCTTTAAGTTTAGGACACAAAATCTTTTGTGTATTTTATTTAACTGTAAGTGTATTTAGCTGGGTGCCTCCAAGTCATTAGACAATGGAAAATAGAAATACTGAACCTGCTCCAGTCTGGAGAGGTCAGAGACCCTCGGCAGCCACTCCAGCATTAGGTGAACTCGACCAGACTTCACATCATTTAGAGTGTACCACTGAAATAAAAGTGTTACAAAAAATTTAAGTTATGATAAGAATACAAATGTAAATATTTGCTATATTGTTTGGTCACGTCTTTTTAATAATGGCACACACCGTATCGGTGTATCGTGCGCTGATGATGTCTCGTAGGCTAAGTTTGAACCTGCAAAAAAAGGCACAAAATTTTATCCTTCATTTTTCAGCAGGTTTAAAAACAAACTAGTCAGAAATGTTCACGTCAGGACTCACCTTCCCAGGAAGTCATCCTGATCAATGTCCTTATCAAACAACTCAAACTGGATTTCTTGACCTGGAAGCTGGGTCAAAATAACCTAAACAGGAAAAAAGAAATCAAGTATTTGTAATCTAAAATTGAATGATCTGATCAGATGGATAGAATATCTAAGTGAAACTTTTAAAAGTGATAGCACCTCATAGAGTTCGTTCCAGACAGGGTTGAGGTTCTCTTTGATGGTGTGGCTGCGGAAGGTTATACCACCGACACGAATCTTCACGTAGGGGTC